TGGTGTGCTTCTTTTAATTCTTTGGGGAAGATACCCAGCAGGGAAATAACTGGGTCAAATGAGACTTCCAATCCTAGTTCTTTGAGGTATCTCCATACTGATTTCCCTAGTGGTTGCACCAGTCTACATTCCCACCAGCAGTGGAGCAGGGTTCCTATTTTCCCACAGCCCTAACAGCATTTGTCATTGGTTGATTTCATGATAGCAGCCATTCTTTCTGGGGTGAGGTGGAATCTCAGTGTTTTTTTCATTTGCATCTCTTGAATGACCAGTGATGGTGAACATTTTTTCATATGTTTATTTGCTATTTCTTTTTTTTCCCTTAAATTCTTTTGTTGGTACCTTTTAGGTATACAACACAATTACATTTCTTCTTGTGACTATCTAACTCATTCAGGACCCCCATTCTGCATTACTATACTGTTTGTTTCATTTTGTTTGTTTCTTTGTGTGGTACCGGGAATGGAACCCAGAGGCACTCAACCACTGAACTACATCCCCTGCCTCTTTTTTATTTTGAGACAGAGTTTTCTTAAGTTGCCCAGGTGGAACTTGAACTTTCAATCTTCCTAGCCTAGGCTTCTAAAATGCTGTAATTACAGGTGTGCACCACTAAACCCAGCTCTGGTTTTGTTTTCATTAAGTGAAAGAATGCAGACTCAGGAAGAGAAGTATCACATATTCTCCCTACTATGTGAAATCTAAAAATATTACACGAAAATACGAAGGAGACTCTTATTAGATAAGGGGAAGGGGATAAAGAAGATGGGGCGAGAGTGTAAGAGGGGTAATGGGGGAATGGATTGATCTAAACATATTATCCAATATTTCTCGTATTAGTAGACTCATAAAATATATTTTAAATCAATAAACATGAAATCTTTAGTCATCTCTTTTTAACTGAACACAATAGAAAATGTCCTTCAACATTAAAATGCATAAATATGCGAATCACTGTGAATAAATTATTGTACAATAATTGAAGAAAAATTTGGAAATTGTAGAAAAAAGTGAAAATGGCTATGGATGACAGCTTACCTATGAAATCTAATAAAACAGAGCTAAACTGTAAGTATACAGATTTGCATGAAAGTATGAATTTAAAATAATTAAACTATTATGTCATCTCTGCACAGTTCTGAAAAATTTTCACTTGAAACCTATTCAATTTAAACAGGAGACATGATCAGATACATTGAGATATACAGAAAATATGCAATATCATTAGGAGTAAATGTATAGAAGATCACTAATAGTTACTAAAAACCAAAATGAGAGTTATGATACATTCATTACAAAAAAACTAAAAAGTCATAAGGTTACTAGTTATCTCCACCTCATATAAAATTTCAAGTACATTTTAATGAGGTATACACCTGACGTTTTCATGGAGCTGAAATTATTTCTATAATTGACTTTGGAGGCAACAGGGACAAGGACAGGTCAATCTTGAGAACAAGATGGGAAACCACCTCCCAGGGCACACGATATATTCCAAAGCCATAGTGGTCCAGACAGTGAGGTATTGGTGAAGAAAAGATGGACCAAAGTGGAGCCACACATAGAGACAACAGGAGTGTGACCGGGACATTGCAAAGAATGAACAGTGGGTACAGAAGTCAGCGAATACTGCTGGCATCATTGATATCTAAAAGAAATAAAACCAAGGTTCTAGTTCTGTTAGCAACTTTTTGTGATCTCGAGCTGTCTGGTGCAGTTGTCTTATTTGCTGGGTCTGGAGAGTCCATGGACCTAGGTAATAGATGGGGATCCACACAAGGCTCCACCTACAGGTTATGGGTTCTTTGGGGTCCTCAAGGATTGTGGCAGGATTTCAACAACCATAACTATTGACCTCCCTTTGTACCAGACATCCTTGTTTCCAGGGCCTGGAAGGACCAGGAGAAAGGGGTCCAAGACCTGTCCAGGCCAGTGCTGGCACCACAGCAGTTTCTTCCCAGCATGTATTCGAATGTTTGGTCCATGGGGGAACCACTCCCTCCTACCGGCTGCCAACGGAGCTGGTCTTCCTTTTTATTTCTCAAGCCAAGAGAGGTTAAAGTTGATGGAATACAGAGAAGAAACCTCAGGGACCTCTCTGTAGATTGCCCAAGAACCTTCCTGGAGCCTTCTTTCCACCACCCTCAGGGAAACCCAGCCATCCATAAGGGAAAACAGGTCACCACCACCACCTGCTGGGTGTGGTGAACCACATGGGTCCACCTAGTCTTCTCCCAGCAGCACAGGCTATATTGGTCAAGATAAGAGGTCTTCTGGGACAAAGCCTCTTTCCCATTGGAGGCCAGGGGCGTGTCGACACTATCCAGACTTCCCCTCCATTCTTGTGACGTGCTTGCCTTGGATACAAAGTTCCAGGCAGCCTGGGCAACTCAGTATGAGGGGGACACTGGCAGCCCCTTTCCAGTTTGAAAACTAGGGTGGAACTTAGGTGAGGCACCGAAATCTGAGCACTGACAGATGTAAGCCTGGAAACTGTACAAATGAGCAGCATGTGGGACTGGCAGGGCTGGATAGGAACCCATATCTGGGAGCTGGGAAAACTGCAGGCCAGGGGCTGCATGAGTGAGCAGTATCTGGGAGCAGCAGGACCCTGGGGAAAGAAGAGGCCAGACGCACCCAGAAATAGTTACTCAACTATTGGAAAACAAGAGCCAGATCCTGCTACGTTTGTAAAGTTTTAATGACCAAATGCATCCAAGAGGATGTGGCATCGTTGTCAGTGGGCTCTGGGAAGGCCATGATCATCCAGAGAGAGAAACCTCCTTTCACAATGGGGAGTCTGCTCACTACCCTTGCTTTATATCCACTGATTTCAGGAAGACATCTCTCCACACCTGTATCATCTCCACAGAGCTCAGTGGCAATCGATAGGCAAAGCTGTAACAATATTTGCCATTTACTGAAACCTACAAAGGGAAAATGGGTGAGAAATGTGAAACGAAGCCATAAAAGGGTTCACTCCTGCCTACTTCTCCCCTCCTGTGTCTACTTACATTCAGAAAACTCCTAACCACACCTCAGAACTCAATGGCCATGCCTCTGTGGGCAGGCTACCTTTTTTGACTCTTTCAGACAGTTACTCTTTTCTGTTTCCTTTCTTTCTCCATGCAGAAGTTCTACCACTCCATGTCACTCAGACTCTATTTTTACCCTAGCAGATGCCAATGGCCTGTGATTATGTCGTGAGTCTCGAATCCTTGTGTCTTGCTCGGAACCAGCCAGATACACATTGACCGAACGCGTAAGTTTCTGTCCCACAGAGCCGGACTACTGTTACTGCTGATGCCCCAGTTTCTTTTTGAGTACTCAGATTTGGACCCGTGGGAGGAAAGAATGGATCCTGAATGTTCTCAAAGAGATAGATGAGCACAGATGATTCAAACACTATGCTGTTATCATGAACAGCTAATTAGCACACAAAAAGATTTCCCGCCTTAACCTTCATAAAACGCCAGTGATGTTTCCTCCTGCTATGAGGTCACAAAATTGTGCATTT